TCAGCCTCCCGAGTAGCTGGGACTACAGGCGCCCGCCACCTCGCCCGGCTAGTTTTTTGTATTTTTTAGTAGAGACGGGGTTTCACCAGGTTAGCCAGGATGGTCTCGATCTCCTGACTTTGTGATCCGCCCGTCTCGGCCTCCCAAAGTGCTGGGATTACAGGCTTGAGCCACTGTGCCCGGCCAAGACTCCATCTCAAAAAAGAAAAAAAAAGAAAAACAACAGATATACAGTAGACCCTTGAACAACATGGGGGGTTAGAGTTGCTGACGCCTCTTGCAGTTGAAAATTTGCATATAACTTTTTTTTTGGTGGGGAGATGGGGTCTCACTGTGGTCCAAGCTGGAATGCAGTGGCTTGATCTCAGCTCACTGCAACCTCCACCTCCTGGGCTCAAGCGATTCTCCTGTCTCAGCCTCCTGAGTAGCTGGGGCTACAGGCATATGCCACCATGCCCAGCTAATTTTTGTATCTTTAGTAGACAGGGTTTTGCCATGTTGGCCAGGCTGGTCTAGAACTCCTGGCCACAAGTGATCCGCCCGCCTCGGCCTCCCAAAGTGCTGGGATTACAGGTGTGAGCCACCTCGCTGATGCATATAACTTCTGACTCCCCCTAAACTTAACTACAAATAGTCTACTGTTGACTGAAAGCCTTACAGATAACAGTCGATTAACACATATTATGTGTGTTAAACATATTATATACTGTATTCTTACTACAAAATGAGGTAGAGGAAGGAAAATGTTTTAAAGAAGAAGAGAAAATAGGCTGGGCATGGTGACTTTCACCTGTAAACCCAGCACTTTGGGAGGCCGAGGCAGAAGGATCACTTGGGGCCAGGAGTTCAACACCAGCCTGTTCGAGATTTTGTCTCTACTAAAAAAAAAAAAAAAAAAAAAAAAAGAGAGAAAAAGAAAGAAAAAGAAGAAAGGAAAAAAAATTGCTGGAGATGGCATCATGCATCTATATATATAGTCCTAGCTACTCAGGAGGCTGAGACACGAGAATTGCTTGAACCTGGGAGGCACAGGTTGCAGTGAGATCACACCACTGTACTCCAGCCTGGCAACAGAGTGAGACCTTGTCTCAAAAAAAAAAAAAAAAAAAGAGAGAGAGAAAATATATTTAAATATATTTACTATTAAAAAAAGCCCACTAAATAAACAAAAAGAACATATATTTACTGTTCATCAGGTGGAAGTGGGTCATCATAAAGGTCTTCTTCCTCATTGTCTTCATGTTTGGTACATTGAGGAGGGGAAGGAGAGGTTGGTTTTACTGTCTGAAGAGTGGCAGAGGAGGAAGAGGTAGAGGTAGAAGGGAGGCAGGAGAGGCAGGCATACTCGCTTTAGTTTCAGTGCCCATACCACAGAAGGGTCCATGTTGTAAAAGCGGTCTTGAATACTAGGAACACTTCTACCAGATTGTTTAATGTCAGTTGTTCTCTGGCACTGCATCTTCTACATCTTCTTCATCGTCTTGCACTGGTTTGAAGGCACTCATCTCCACCAACTCATCTTCTATTCGTTCCTCTAGTGTGATATCTATTAGTTCTTGGATTTCTCCAAGATTCGTACCTTGAACCCTTCACCCTACACAACTCTTCACCCCACACACACCTCTTTTCCACAATGTCTTTTGTGATTTCCTTGACAGTCTCGGTCATAAATCTTGTGAAGTCATGCACAACATCTGGACACAATTTTTCTCCAGTAGGAATTTATTGTTTCAGGTTTGATGGCCTTCACGAGTTTTTCTACAACATCTTCAATGGTGTAATCCTTCCAGACGTTCATGATGTTCTCTTGGTTGAGGTCCTCTTCCATAGTGTTGACAATCCCTTCCATAGAGTACAGGGTGTAATAAGCATTAAAGGTCCTTATGACCCCTTGATCTAGAGGATGAATGACAGACATCGTATTTAGGGGCAAGTAGACCACTTGCACCTTCGGTGTTGAACTCAAGGGGTTCCAGGTGGCCAAGATCATTGTCCAATATCAAAAGAACTTGAAAAGGAAGCTCCTGCTGGCTGGGCATGGTGGCTCACACCTATAATCCCAGCACTTTGGGAGGTTGAGGCAGGTGGATCACTTGAGGTTGGGAGTTCGAGACCAGCCTGGCCAACATAGTGAAACCCTGTCTCTACTGAAAATACAAAAATTAGCCAAGCATGGTGGCACACACCTGTAATCCCAGCTACTCGGGAGGCTGAGGCAGGAGAATTGCTTGAACCTGGGAGGTGGGGGTTGCAGTGAGCCAAGGTCAAGATCACGCCACTGCACTCCAGCCTGAGCGACAGAGCAAGATTCCGTCTAAATAAAGAATGAATGATTGAATGAATGAATGAATAAATAAATAAATAAATAAATGGCAGCTCCTTACTGGCAAGGTATAATACTTCCTGACTTCCAGGACAAAGCATTCAACCAATCCAGAAAAAGCGTTCTTGTTGTTCAGGCCTTCTTGTTGTACAGAGTGGCAGCTTTTGTTTATCTTCTCTCTTCAAAGCTTGGGGGTTAGCAGCTTTACAGATAAGGGAAGTTCTGATAATAAACCTGACCAAATTTGCACAAAACAATAGTTAGACTATCCCTTTCTGCCTTAAATCTTGGTGCTTGATTTTCTTCCTTACTAATAAACGTCTTTTGTGGCATATTCTTCCAGAATAGGGCACGTTCATCTGCATTAAAAACCTGTTCAGGTGGATATCTTTGTTGTCAGTGATTTTTTTTTTTTTTTTTTTTGGAGACGAAGTCTTGCTCTGTTACCCAGGCTAGAGTACAGTGGCATGATCTCCCCTCACTGCAACCTCCGCCTCCCGGGTTCAAGCGATTCTTGGGCTTTAGCCTCCTGAGTAGCTGGGGCTACAGGCACGTGCCACTGTGCCTGGCTAATTTTTGCATCTTTATTAGAGACAGGGTTTAACCATATTAGCCAGGCTGTCTCGAACTCCTGACCTCAGGTGATCCACCCGCTTCGGCCTCCTAAAGTGCTGGGATTACAGGTGTGAGCCACATGCCCGGTCCCCACTTTCAATAATGAATAAGAAGATCAACAAGAAAATCTAAGATTTGAAAACAATATAAATCAACTAGACCTAACAGACATCCATAGAGCACTTGACCTAACAACAGCAGAATATATATTCACATGAAACATTCTCCAGGATAGGCCTTATGCTAGGAGACAGACAAACCTCAATGAATTTCAAAGGACAGTAGTAAACAAAATGTGTTCTCTAAGCCAGGTGTGGTGGTGTGAGCCTGTAGTCCGAGGTACTCAGGAGGCTGAGCCAGGAGGATCACTTGAGGTCAGACGTTCTAGGCTGCAATGTGCTATGATCATGCTTGTGAATAGCCACTGCGCTCTAGCCGAGGTAACACAGCGAGGCCCAGTCTCTTAAAAAACAAAAAACAAGTATGTTAGTGATTCCTTAGGAGTGGGCGACATGGTGGTGTGGGTAGAGCAGTGATAGCCTAAGTGTAGAGAGTTTCTTTTTGAGGTGATAAAAATGTTCTAAAATTGATTGTGGTGACAGTTGCATATATCTATGAATGTACTAAAAACTATTAAGTGGTACACTTTAAATGGGTGAATTGTATGGTCTGTGGATTATATCAAATGTATATAAGCAGAGCTGAAACCCCTCCACAAGAAATGTGGTTCTGAGACCACCTTAGCAAATTCTGATAAAATCTAGAATGAAGTAAACATAAAAACATTCAACGTCACTATCAATTAAGTAAATGCAAATTAAAACTATAATGAAATTCAACTTTGTGTCTATGGAATTGACAAGACTTAAAAAGAATTCTAATATTCTGCATGAGGTAAGTCATGAGAATGCTGGCCATCAGAGGCCCTTCCACACCACCCTGTGATGTGAATATTATCACTATGATTCTCATACCATATGTGAGAAAAATCTTCAGATAAGCATATTTTACATATCCACCCAACAAACAATTCTTGAGGCCAAGGAGGTATCAGAGGGTGGCTTTTGTCTAAGGGCTGCAATGAAGAAGAGGTGGAATGAGAGATGGTTCCCTGGTCTCCTGCCCCACTCCAAGCTCTCCGTTCCTGGGGTCTGAGCTTCAGAAGCCACCTTAGAGTTCCTGGGTCCCATGAGAACCCCCAGGGCTTTTGAAGCACTCGGGGCCTTGTGGTTCTAGGCCTCAGAGCAAACAGAGATTTGATGTGGGCTCCTGGGAGCAGGGGCAAAAAAAAGATGGGAAGTTCTGTGGTGTCTGGGGTATCAGTCTTCGCCCTACCTCCCGAAGTCATATATGCAATCCAATGGCATGGGACAACCTCTCCTCTGAGCCCAGGGCCCAGCACAGCCTGGATGCAGAAGGAGAAGTTTCTTCCTCAGAAGATCCTGCAGGGTAGGAGTGTGTGCACTGTGTTGGTCTAAGCACAATGGTCTGTGTTTAGATTTGCACGTGACCATGAGGTCACACTTCGGGGTTTTCTTCTAATGAAGGTTCTGACTAGGGAGTTAAGTCAATGCCCCTCTGCTCTTCCCCAAGCTCCCTGTCAGAGAGGCCTCCCAAGGAGGATCTTGGGGCATTTGAGGCCAGAGACTTAAGCAATTCAGAGAATTCTGAAGGCTGAAAAGCAGAGGAAGTCTTTTGTTTTTCCAAAGACCTCGGTGCGAATCCCAGATTCACTCATCTGACTGTGGGATCTTGGGCAAGCATTGCAGCACTCTAAGCCTCAGTTTCCCTGGGTGTTAAATGGCTCCTTTAGTGCAGTTTTTGAGGGAAACGATTCAAGAGAGAGACAACAGGTAGCATTAGTTCCCCAAGGAAGAGAAGTAGGCTCAGCCCGCCGAGCTGGGACAAAGACAAGTACAGGGGCGGGTCGACAGGGTGCCCAAATCAGTTTCTACCAGGCGCTGCTGTGAGGATGGGTGGCAGGGGCGTGGGCGACGTCGCCCGACACACACTGGCGGCGGCACCTCTCGCAGCTGCGGCTGATTGGGGTCTGGGCGGTGCGGGCGCAACC